TTCTGAAAAGCAAATATTTTAGGTATAACTGTAAAACATCTGCAATATGAAAAACCGCATTTTTTTAAATAATAATAAGAATTCATATAAGTTTCATAGAGTTTTGGTGCAATGGTGATCGATCTTGCTAATTGGCTCAGTAACTTCAGTATGAAACCCGAAGTACAGAAACAAAATCTAGTGGAAAAATGTAATCAAATAAATCAAATTAAAAAATAGCTGTCAGTTATTTTCCTTTTAATATTAAAAAAATCAAACGTTAATATAAAAAAAAACAGCAACAAATATATCATAGCGGCTTACCGTTCCTTTTTTCGCGCACTGTCATTATACGTTAAAGTATTTTGTTACTATTTGATGGTGTAGGGATTCAACGGATGTGATTGGAGATAAATATAATTTATCTCTGGGTAGCATATAGGCAGCTACTTTTTTATAGAAATGTTGAAGTTGAGGCATCCATATCTACATATTATACATACAATATACATGCAACAATCACAGAAATCGAACCTATGGTCACACGTGAATTAGGCAGTATAAATCTGACATCATCTCTTGGAACGTTCGCTCAGTAATTTCGTTTGCTTAAACTCGCAATATTAGAAAATATATTAGAATACTAGCCGGACTCACCCGGTACATTTTAATTTTTTTGAGCGGAACCCTAATTCTTTTACTGAAATGATAGTAGCCTCATTCGTAATAATATTAACTACCTGTCTGTGAAGGTCCCGTCTAAATCGGCGCAGTCGTTTCAGAAATTACTGGAACAAACAGACAGACAGACAAAATTTTAAAAATTGTGTTTTTTTTATAAATACCGTATAAAATTCCATATGCATTTAGTAAAAAGCTGTTATTTTGACATTACAAACAGATACTTCAAGTTTATTTATCTGTATAGATTGAACTTCACTCGTATAAACTTATCGATGTTAAGGATTGCGAGTGTATTTTATTACAGTATGCATTTTATAGTAAGAGAAATAATACTCGCCTATTTTTGGTTATTAAATAAGTAATAAACAATATATAAATGAATTGAAAATATTACCTATAGTTTACCCTAGTTACGTACATGTGAGCATCGGTGTTAGGTACTCCATGTATGTCTTTGTGGGTATTTTTGATACAAGTCTGTCCAAAAATTTTACGGTAAAGGAGAGTAACAAACATACACACATGCAAACATTTGCATTTAGTAGTAGTCTAATATCAAAACTCTAATTATAATAATTTTTAATTGACTATTTATTCACTTACCTAAAACCGTTTCCGTTACAAAAATCGTAACGCCAATCCTTTTGTCCCTCTCATAGCGCACCTAAAGAAGTTTTAGTTCAATAAATATATTACAGACAAAATTATTTTAATACTCACCCTCGCTTCGCTCGGGTTCGTCCCTTTTTTTTTTTTTTTATGTCGGGAAATGCATTTACGCATACCACCTGATCCCCCAGGTGGTGATGTGGGGCTCACCGGCTAGAAGAGCCGGTACTACCCACTAAAACCCGACATTCCCCTCCCCTCCGCCTTAATGGGACGCCGCAGGATCGCTTGCGCATAACTACTACGGCGCCCCGGCGGCAGGTCTGCCTAAGCGCTAGGCAGACCACCAAACCAATGGGGCTGCTCCACAGTCAACTCTGCTACGCCAGAGGGTTACCCGGAGCAGCCCCATTAAACCTAACCACCGCCCACCGAAGTGGGCCACCTCCAATCGGCTGCAGAGGACAGGGAGAGCGGCAACGAAACACCGACACTCCTCTTCCCCTGCAGCCCCACCGCGTCCGCCATCAAACGGTGGCGGCCCCGTCTAGGCCGCGGAAGGTAGGGAGAACGGCGCACCGAAATACCGGCACTCCTCTCCCGCCGCGGCCTACTCCTCCGCCGGATGCGGGCCTGCGACCACAGTCCCGCAACCGGCACCCATCATCCGGTTGTGGGACCAAGCGGTCCCACCACCGGTGGCCGCAACGTCTTCGGCTCGAGTCCTAGACGAGCGGCCCCACCCAAGCCATTTGGTCCGCGCCGGATTTCCCCGGTACCACCCGCCGCCCTAAGCGGGTGGCATTCCCCTATCCGCCACCTGGGGACGCGCCCGGTAGGAGTTGGCTTCTCCCCCGGGAATTCGTCCCTAGGTGATTCTTTAAATTGACATAACTTTTTTAGTTATGATCCGACTGAAATAAAATATATACTAAATGTTAAGTATAATAAATATAAATAAAGTAGATACTAAGTGTGTGCTGTTTCTGAGATTACCACGTATAAACGCACAGACAAACAGACAAAAATTCTAAAAAATATTGTTTTGAGTTCTATTGTTTTAATAAAGACCCCCAATTAATAGTTTTTCTCCATCTACGGACAGCTATCAGTTACATTTTCATTACATATACATATTCATATAGATAAAAGAAACTAACAACGAAACACTCATATCAAAAATCTGTGACATTACTATAAAATCACACAACACGTAATATATCATGCATAATAACGACTGAACAGAGGCTAGCGGTCGAAAATAGCGGATTATGTTTTTGACACCACCCGCCACCCTCGCTACAGGCTGACTTACTGGTACATACGTACACGTATTTAGGTAAACAAACCTCCGTGTCACTGGTAATCCTATTTACCTTTGAACGTATTAAAATATTACGAGAAGCGCTTCAGGGAATTATTGTTGGGACGCTATGATTCGTTTTGCATTATAAACACTTATACGTTTTGGTAGACTACTGTAATTATAAGTATACATTTTTATATAGAACTAGCGACTCACGCGGTTCGTCCTTATTTACGTTTTAACGTTTAGTGTAGATTTTTCAGAGATGAGATATTTTCCCGCAGTAAAATGTATCCTATATGTTGACCCAGATAACCAGCTATCTCCCCCAACGTGCGTTCACCTTGTCGTGGTGGGGGGGCTCAGTAGTAGTAGCGAAGCTAAGAAACGCACAGGGAGGTTGCCCACTTCGGTGGGCGGTGGGAGGTGGCCCTCTTCGGGGGGCGGTGTACCTTGCGGGTTGCTCCTGGTACTTCTCTGATAGCAGAGTGGACCTTGGAGCAACCCCATGGTTGTGGTGGTCTGCTTTGGCAGACCTGCCGTCGGGGCGTCGTAGTTGAATGCGTAAGCGATCCTGCGACGCCCCATTAAGACTGGGGAAGGTTTTGTTGGGTTTTAGTGGGTAGTACTGGCTGTATTACGCCGGTGAGTCCCACACGTCGTGCGTAAATGCATTTCCCAACGTTAAAAAAAAAAAACCAGCTATCATCATACATCAAAATCTGTCCAGTGGTTTTCTCGTGATGCGTTCACAGACAGAGAGACGGACAAAAATTCTAAGAACTATAGATTCGATCGATAAAAAGGACTATTTCAATTAAATTTTCAAAAAAATAAATAATGTACAGATTCGACTCAGTTGTTATATATATGTATAGATGACTAACTATAAAAGTTTATTTAAAATTTCATTTTGAATTTATACAAAAATTTTCCACGTTGATACAAAAATGAAAACAAGTAAGATGCTATATAGATTTTTGATAATGGCATATTTTAAATATTCTTTTCATTAAGTCTAACTTCAAAATATTTTTTTAAAATATGTTTTATATTTTGTTTATTCTTGTAAATTTTTTGTTATTGCATATTAAAAAATATATATTAAAAACAATAGCACAATTCATGAGTTTAGAACGTCAAAATACGTTTAAGGTGAAGCTGTTTCATCGTTATCATTCAGGTTAATAGACATATGTCCATATGTGGTATCTAATGGGCAGTTAGTATTTTAAGACATCGTTATTGTACGTGAATGGATGTTCGTACCACTGAATTACTACTTTTTAGTGTGTCTCTATTAAAAATACGTCTTACTAATGCAGTTGATGCTAATTGATATGGTTGGGGCATCTTTAAAGTTAATCACTGTCTGGTTTAGAAGCTTATTGTTCATATTAGTAAAATAATATATTAGTAAAAGAATTAATGTATTATCATTTTTTAATGACTGCAATGCGTAATGTTTGATAGCTCATAAACTCCTTTAATAAGTATGCTGTAAATATATTTAATTTCAGTAGTAGTTCGAGAGATTTACGCAATAATCAAATAAACCAAAATAAAAAAACAAATAGTCTGTAACAACTATATAATACCTTAGAGACATCTGACACCTCAGTCTCTCCCGTGACCATGATTCTTATAAAGCATTCGAAACGTCGGGAACCAAAAATTAAAATAAATTCGCGAAAAAATCCGAAAAGATAGTTTTATTTAAAATGTCAAATATTCGCGTAAATCTAAGAAAGTATTATGTAAACCAAAATATATAAATAACAAAAAGTATTGTATCTCTTATAAATTTAAAGGTCAAATGTAAAACGTTGCAGATAAAATAATAAAACTAAACCGAACTCCGTGGATACATATTTTATATCTATACATATAATTAAAAAAAAAAGTATTTGTATTTTTCTTTATATTTATAGAATTCTGACTTGAACCTTTTAATATAAAAGATTTAACAAATTCATGTTATAAGGATTTTTTAACTTTGTATCTTTCTATTCTAAACGTACTCTTTTCTTTCTTTTCAGATCGGAAATATTCAACCAGCTCTGACTCTGATAAAGCAATCCAAACCCGGGATACTCCACTAGCAGCCACTACAACCATTTTCTACTAGAATAATATAGCAATCAACGAACAAAGAAAGCAAAAATTTAAGTTTACTGCGCAACGGAAAGGCACTATTTTCTATAATAAACATACAATCAAATGGCTCTGCTGGAAGTTGAAAGGGCGTTCCAGGCGATATGTCAATTAAGACCTATACTCAATTGTAATCTACTGCGTCACTCTAAGTCGAAACAACTTCACGACGAGGTCGTTTTTCAAACTTGACTTGTGGATTATATTGAGTTTTAATTTGATATAAGCTAATTATTATAATAAGATTAAAAGGAAAATATTAAACCCAATGCATGGTAAGAATAAAAGAACGAGCGTAACCGTCACCCAAGTCAGGGACTCGTATGGCGGCTCAAAATCATAACCCTCACTGTTCACGGCCTAGCTTTGTTACTTTACCTTCGTGTCTTCTCATACTTGTCTCTTTATTATTGCAAGCAAATTTGGTATTTTCAGTCGATTATAACGAATCTGCTCTCTTATTAAACACCACCAATACAAATTCATCATCAAATTGGACGTTCTTCGACCCAAATACAACCATTTCCAAAATTCCTCATATAAAGCATTCAAAATACTCCACGATAGTAACAGTACTTCTAGCTGCTATTTTTATGATAGTGATATTCGGAACAATTGTTGGTAATATTTTAGTCTGTATTGCTGTTTGTTTAGTACGAAAATTGAGAAGACCCAGCAACTATCTAATCGTATCTCTGGCTGTGAGCGATCTCTGCGTCGCAGTGATGGTCATGCCTGTAGCAATGGTTTATGACTTATTGGGAACTTGGCCATTTGGACCAGTAGTTTGCGACTTTTGGGTATCTAGTGATGTCTTGTCATGTGCTGCGAGTATTCTGAACTTATGCATGATATCAGTAGATCGTTATTACGCAATAACAAAACCTTTGGAATATGGTGTGAAGAGAACGCCAAAGCGGATGTTGTTTTGCGTTTTTATAGTTTGGATGAGTGCAGCTTTCATATCGTTGCCGCCAGTTTTAATTTTGGGAAATGAAAAAACGGAAACTTCGTGTTCAGTATCACAGAATCAAGGATATCAAATATATGCTACGTTTGGTTCATTTTATTTGCCGCTTACAGTAATGGTTGTAGTATATTATAAAATATTTAGTGCAGCAAGAAAAATAGTAAAAGATGAGAGACGTGCACAGTCTCATTTAGAAACCCATTGTTACTTGGAAATAAATGTTAAAAACGGTGGAGCTGCTGAAGCAAAGCTTTTGGGCACGCAACCTCCCCCGACTCGTGGATCTACTGCTAGTACTAACACGACTGTAAGTTTAACGTACGAGTAGCTTAATCATTTTAAGTACATTATCTAAAAATTGAAAGAGCTATCTTATAATTTTTAAACTTTCGGTATTATATTGTTTTCCTTAATTTATGTATGAATATTTAAATTTAAGGCACTGGTAGCTCGGTGGTATCGTACTTGCTCGAGGAGACAAGTGAAGCGGGTTCAAATCCCAGATCTATTACCTCTGATATTCTCATGACATGATGATGACTTGCCTTACTGTGAACAAAAATATTTTGTGAGCAAAACTCTATGTCTGAGAGAACCTAATAAGTTTTATAAAGATATGAGAAGTCCGCCATCCCGCACTTAGCTTTTGGACAATGTTCTCGTATTAAATGGAGGCCTGTGCATAGCAGCCAGACGTTAAAAAAGAAATAATAGAAAGAAAATAAATCCATTTAAATTCATTGTTTTATTCGTTTTTGTGTTTTTAATATCAAAGAAAAATGGTTAATTCGATTTGAAAACAAATCTAATAATATTCTTTTTCATTACAAATGTACACGTATTTAATTAATCTACAAGTGGAATTGCACTGATCTCTTTCTTATAAATAAAGAGTACTTTGTATAACATAATATTAATATTTCTCATAAATTATTCAAAATATAAATTTTAAATCAAATTTCAATATTTGTTACAGTGTAGCATAGATAAGACGGAGAGCTCGATTGGAAGATGTTTCACAGGACAAAGAAAATCTAATGAATCCCAATGCCCTATGTTGCAGCAAGCGCCAAAAACACCCGCAAAACCAATTCATACAATTAATCGACCAAACTCACAAATGGGTCCCGTCCCGGAAATTAAACACCCTCCGAAGGAAAATAGACGGAGGCAATCTTCCGAAAGCAGTAACAAATTAACCACAAGTCGAATTCGATCATCATTATCTAGTTTCGCTCATAAAAGTCATTTAGCGAAGGATCTTTTACATCCAACACACTCACCGCACCAGAAGAAATTACGATTTCAACTGGCCAAAGAACGTAAAGCGTCTACAACCCTCGGAATAATCATGTCAGCATTCATTATATGCTGGCTGCCATTCTTTGTACTTGCACTAATTAGGCCTTTTGTCAATGAGGACACTATTCCTGATGCTGTGAGCGCGCTCTTTCTATGGCTAGGGTACATTAATAGCCTTCTGAATCCGATTATATATGCCACTCTAAACAGAGACTTTAGGAAGCCATTCCAAGAAATACTATTCTTTAGATGTTCCAATTTGAATCACATGATGAGAGAAGAGTTTTATCACAGCCAGTACGGTGGGCCTGACCAGCATTACTGCGTAAATAACTCGACAAATAAAGCGCAAAATTATGAGGAAGGTGTAGAAATAGTTTCCGCTGTAGACAGAGAAGAGACGCGGGCGTCAGAAAGTTTTCTATGATTGTCAATGCAAAAGGTCGATTGTAGAGACCTGGATACTGTGATTTAATTAAGACTAATATACCGTGAAATAGTGCTAAAATCATGAAAACAAGTACTGCAACGTTTTAGCAATCGAACTAGTCGACATTACCTATAGAGTATAGACGTTCTGTCTTGTCACATATTCTATCCGAAGACTGTAAATAAGTTATATTGTAAATTTGTAGTGACATATAATTAATAATAAATCAGTTACCGTATCAAAGATATTTATTTAAGTGACTTCGGAATGACCAAAGAGTCTACTAGTAATGAATTTATTAATTGTTGTGAATTTATTAGTCTTCGTATTATTATTTTGTATTATATTGTGAGTGTACTGACAATCATAAGCAAGTATTCTAATACATGTGATAGTAGATATAGTCAGTTGTTTGGTTCGTTTTTTCTTCATATAACTTGATTTGCATTATCTAATATATTATTGCCTTTAGTATACGATTACTCTTACTTTTCAATTTGTCAGTGTTATTGTAAGTACATGTAAGTAATATAGCTGGAATCATAAAATTAGTACGAAATAATTGGCACTGCCACATAAAGTAATAAATAAATAATATTTTGTAATTAAAACTATTGTAATAGAATTAAAGGGTTTTCAGGATTTTGCAATCTGTATGTTCTTTTATCATTAATTTAATCAATATCTCCCATAAAACTGCAGAGAAGCATTGTAACTTTTGTGAAAGAGTGACTTTTTAACCGACTTCAAAAAGGAGCACTTAATTGGTTTTTATTTATATTACGCGATATTTTACCCAATTGTGAATAGTTTTTCATCATTCTTTGTAAATAAATAGGTTATAACCTCAAGGAGGTTCTATATACGTTGCAAGGAAAAATCCACCCATTAGGATGATATCTAATTATTTTCAAAGTATGAAATCGTGCAATTATTTTTAAAATGAATTATTTGATTTACGACATTTTAAGTAAACCTAGACGCCTACTTGAAACTTTTAAGTAACCATATCCCTTCACACTTGAATCACTTATAACTCTAACGTAATTTATTAAGATTTCTGTTAAAAACATTCACTTTGAAACTTACAAAATACTTAATAGAATAAGTACAGCTGAAAGTGAAAGTGTGGAAGTGAAGTCTGAGTGGGCGACTAGTATATAAGATTTATGCTATAATGCCTTGTTATCAACCGCTTATCTAAAACGTATAGAACAAAAAGTCAGTATTTGTAAATATTAATGTATAATTAAACCAAATATTATAAAATGTACATAATTTTATGTAAGGTTAGTTGAAAATAACGCAGTAACCGTGTGGGGAAACTACGCTTGGAAATAAAAAAAATATTTGACAGTTCAATTCGATGTTGTATTAATCGTAAACATTTCTTTGATGTAGTTTCTTTCCATAGAATATTGTGATCATGTGATTATTAGATTTCTTCTTATTTATTATTTTCAACAACCACTAGTTTAAGAGTTACCGCATATTGGAGATTTTTTGTAGTAACATGTACAGATAAGGTATTGAAATGAAGAATTTGTATAAGAATTTAATGACTTTTTCTACCTACTTTCACTTAATAATGATTTCAAAGCAAAATAAGTATAAATAAAGAGTTTTGGGTAAAATTAAAGAGTTAAATAAGAATATGGTGTATTTGGAGAGAAAGAAAAGATAGTATCTCATAGTGGTTAGGAATAAATTATATATTGTACATATATAAGAAATATTAATACCAGGAACTTTATGATTTTGAATCAGTTTTTCTGATAATTACTTTAAAAAAAGCTTTTTTTTGAATAAGTCTCCAATATGCGGCCACTGCGTACTTTGTTGCCACAAAGTGGATTAATGATATCAATTTAATGTGATGAATATTTTTCATTAAATGAAAATAAATGTACCACCGATCATTATTCTGACATCAATCTTAAGACGTGACGTTAAGATGAAGTTAAAAGATTTGGATACTATCCAAAATATCTGTAAGTATTTCTATATTTTTTATTAACTTCTTCCGACATAATAATAATTTATAGATACATTACTAAGTATGCCTGTAATCATGAGTTTGATTCTCGTAACTTCACAAAATTAAAATTAAAATTTAGAAAGGTTGCAACGATTTAGCTTACTTGTTAATATTTTTGTTCATGTTGTAAATGTAAACATAAAAATATTTGGTCGGTGGGTAGCATATCTATTTAGAAAATAGCCATTGCACTTCAAAGTTGTAAAATTAACAATTATTTCATTTCAATATTAGACTTTCAGGGCGAAAGTTAAACCAAAACCAGTGAAGGTGCTAACAAAATACAACTTAAAACACTAACAATAACTATAAGAAATGAATGAATTTATAAAAGTTCATAAACTAAAATAAAATTAAAAAAGTCCATTCAATGTTTACAATATTTGGATCAATTATAATTTATAATTGGTGAAATAAATATGTAAATTTATAAATTGAAAATTGAAATTAAATGCTAAAATTCATGTTTTTTATCGCGCTGAAAGTCTTTTAAAATAAAATTAGTACCGTTAGTTAAATGGTTGAGGTGTTTGAAAACTTGTACTATACAAATATAATTAGTGAGAACGTAGAATTAAATATGACGTGCAATATTCTTTTAAATATAATGTAAAGGGCCTATTTATTTCTAACATTAGAAAGGTATATATTATAATATAGCAATATAGCGTATATCGAATATAAGTTATATGTTAATGAAATATTTTGAAATAGATAAACTAAATTAAATTAAAAATTAAAAAAAACCGACCATCTTGGACCGATTTTCATCAAACATAGCTAAGAACACTCCCTACCGACAATATATTTACTATATATCTCCAAATATAATCTAATATTTTCCAAGTTTCAACTCTATGCCAATGATCATATCAACATTGTTAATATTTTGAAAGAATATTAATTGTACATACAAATTTCAACGTTGTGTTATTTGAATATATATATTTTTTTCTCTTTGAAAATCGTTACTGAAGTAGGTACACAGACTATCTCTAAAATATATACTTTCCAGTCAAGGTATTTTTTGTAAGGAGGTGAAAAATAGTATCATTTAATAAAACAAAATAGTACAAAACGTTACAAAAGAAATAGTCTTTCAATATAATAATATTTTACACTTGACTTAAATTTATTTCAATTCTCACATTAAAATATAATAGCAAAAAGCAATAACGATGAAGACATTTTTCAAGAATGTTAACTTCGAAATAACGAATGAGCTTTTATTACTCACTTTGTAAAACAAAATGCACTTATCACAATCGAGCACTTATTCTTGATACTTGTCACAAAATTAGAAAATACTTCAAACATACCATAACTTTAGGCCGCAGATTTTTTTCAAGTCAAGTGGATGATAATAAAACGTAGCGTAATATGTCCTCTGAAACGTTTTTATGTTTGTATATTATATACCTTTAGTTGCTATACCGCGAAGTAGTAGCTTTTAATGACATCGGTTTGCTTACAGCGCACTCACATATTACGGTTAACCGAAAGTGTTTTCATATACAGTTTCAAATGGCATATGCACACATGGTTTTATTCACATTGTACGATAAAACCTGATACTGTTAAAAAAACCTATCCGTTTCTTCGGAAAACTGTATCGAAAACCGTTATAGTATCTCGAATCGGCAAACGAGATTAAAAATCGTATCAATATGATATATACTTTTTACGGCAAACAGGATATTATATTAATTTTGGGACATTTTCACTATTTTGAATAAAAAAATATAAACATTGCATATATTTTAATCAGTAAATTAAACAAAACTATACATGAAAATTTCACATGTGCTATAAAATATACATATAACGTTGATGATATACGCAATATTGCTTTCTTAATCAATAGTAATAAATATATATTACAAGAAGAGCTCTTATAGTACAAAATCCTATTTATTTATCTGTTTGTGTTACAATTACTCATAAACCTTGTATTATACTGTAATATATTTGTATATGTTTACTTGGTAGTGAAAAAAATTCGTGTATTTTTTCTTTTGTAGAGAGACTAAGCGATAAATAAAAATAGATTTGGGTATAATTTGATTTTTATTGTCTCATGTGTTGTTTCTATTAAAATATATAAATATCTACAAAGTGTTTATTTTAAAGATCCAGGTATAAAGTCCATATGAGTTGTCGAATTTCATAAAATATTTCTTCAATAATATTATCAATAAAATTTAAACTATTTTTTGTATTTCTTAGAGTGAAGTTCTTTATATACAGCTCATCCAAAACATCGCTGTCAAATAAACCGTTCCAAGAAATCAAAGCGGATAATATTCTCTAGTCACTTTCTCAATACATAATATACGGTCTTTATTATATACTAGCGATTCACCCTCGCTTCCCTCAGGTTTGTACTAGCTTGCTTTCCTATACAAACTTTCATCCCCATTTTCACCCCTTTAAGGGATGATTTCTGGGATAAAAAGTATCCTATGTCCTTCCCAGGGTTTCAAAATTTCATTTAAATCGGTTCAGTAGATTTAGAGATTACCCCCTACAACGTCGCAAACTCACAAACTCGCGATCTCACAAACTCACAAACTTTACATATTTATAATATTTTAGTATAGACTAAGTTCCTAGATAACTTTACGCGCATGTACTTTATTGTCATTGTCTCCTAAACTATATAACAAAATGAAATACGGTAATGTCAAAGTTTTAGCACTGATGATGAAATGATTTATTTATATATTGATTTTTTTTATTACATATTAAGGCATAGGCATTACAATATTAGGTAATACTTTAACACAACATAAAAGCAATTTTATGACTAAAATAAAATTTTGTTTTTTGTTTCACTTATATAGGTACAAACATACCTACTGTCTAGTAAGCAACGCTTTTCTGTCCAATCGTTTCACTAATATCATCAGTAAGTCTCAGTAACAGCCCGGAGTTGGGAAGTTGGCGGTGTTTCACC